TATACATTGTTTGAAATAAATGACTGCCTGGCTGGAGTGGCTCAGTTGTTTGAGCGTTGTCTTGTGCATCGAAAGGTTGCCGGTTCAAGTCCCAGTCAGGGCACACACTTGGGTTGCAGATTTGATCCCCTTTTGTGACACAGACAGAAGGTAATCAATCGATGTTTCTCTTTCACTTCTCTCTCTTCCTCTCTCTCTCAAATCAATAAAAATAAAAAAACATATCTTCAGGTAAGAGTTAAAAAATAAACATAAAAATGAAAAATACACAATATCAAGATGGTATTTGAGGAAGGATGGAAGGGATTGGAATCTGGCAGGAGCATAATGGGATAAGGGGCTTCAATTTCATCTAACATTTTCTGTCTCAAAAAAATATATGTATGAAGCAAACATGGCAAAATGTTAACATTTATTAAATCAGGTTAGAGCTTAATCTATGACATTATCCTCTAATCTTTTCATTTATATTTGAACATATTGATAATAAAAATAATAATTAACAGAATTTATCTAAATGCCAAACTATAATTCTAAAGTTTCTACCATGGATTTTATTACTCATTCTAGTTACTTCTTTAAAATTTATAAAACATTAACATGCCACCAATTGTGCTGGTATTTCTTTCTTTTCTTTTTGTTTTTAAATATATTTTTATTGATTTCAGAGAGGAAAGGAAGAGGGAGAGAGATAGAAACATTGATGAGAGAGAATCATTGATTTGTGCTGGTAATTCTTATAGATGTCCCTATTTCATGAGGTTTATGGAGCACTTTGGCACAAGGACCTTAAAGAATGCATTTTCATTATTCTAGAAAGAATTTTAATGGCCTGTTGTACATCAGTGTTAATAGAGTCATTTAGATAAATCCCTAAGCAGTCCTTTTAAAGGTTGCATTTTTGTTCAACCAAAAATAAAAAAAGCTACCTCACCATCCTGAATAAATCTGCTAATCAAGTGTGTTATATGTTTTTAGGTGCTTCAAATTAAATAATATGGAAATATTTATTTAGGGTGTTTTGCTTTGAAAACTTCTTCAGCAAAACAGCAAGGCAACTAATCATTCCTGTGAATATGTGTAATGAATTATGCTTTGAATATGTTATTGATTGGTGGAACAAACAGACCATGACCCAGATTTTCAGTGTTGTATATTGAGATGTGGCTGGTGTGCTCTGAGTCTGACAATTCTCTATTGATTGTGTAAATTAACTGGGACAATGACCCGTGACTATAGCATTACAGCTTTGCGGTTAAATATGCCATCAACCTTTTTATGCCCTATGTATAGTGTGAAATGGTCACCAAATTAATTTTGTCAGATATTGTCTGCATCCTAACTAGAAAACAATTTTCATTGTCTGTAACGTGAATCTTTATGGTAGATATATTATAAATACCTTGATTTCAATGCTACTTAGCATTGCTAAGATCATTAAACATGAAATTTATTTATATATTCTATATTATGTATTAGCTGCTCACTAGGTACAGTTGGGTCCTAAAGATAAAGTGATAACCAAGACAATGCAACTCTCTTTAAATTGTTAGTAATCTAATGAGTATTAGAGTCAAGAAAACAGGTCATTATAATACAGTGAAATAAATACTATTTGTGAGATTTGCAAAGGGTGTTACAGGAGCACATTATAGGGGAACCCAACCCAATCTAGGATGATCAAGGTGAGAAATTGAGGAAGGCTTCGTGGTGGTTGATTCTAAATTTGGAGACTGGAGGAAGAAGAGTGCAAACAGAGCAATTAGCACATGGAAAAGCCCAGAGACAAGATAAAGAAAGCATCCTTTGGGTCAAATGTTTGGGCTCTTGCTTTGGTATGAAGAGCCTTTACTACCCTGGGATTGTATTACTTTGGAATTCCTAGCTCAAGTGATCCTGAGGATGGCCATGGAATGTCAACCATCTGAACACCTTAGAGTTGATCATCAGCCCAATGCCCAGGTCCCCATCCAAAACCAAGTAAATCAGAACTTCTGGGGGCTGGTAGCTGGTGTTGGGATTTTAAAAAAATCTCTCAAGAAGATGTGACTATTCAGCCAGGTTGAAAATCACTAATTTCCAAGATAAATCCTGAGAGGTGTGTTGATTTAGCAAATGTGTAGGCAAGTGAAAAAGGCAGAAATGCTGTGCAAGCGCATTGCCAAAGTGAGCTGGCTATAAAGAAATGACCTTGGGGATCATATCCCCCTTATGCATTTAAGTGCAGAACAGTAATAGATGTGACTCATATTCTAGAACTGGCTCTTGACATATTCAGATAGGTAGTACTTCACATGTTTTTCAAGTCAATTATTACTTATTCCAAAACCCTTAGCTAGATTAATCTAGTCTTACCATTCAAAAACTCCCAGTTTAGTGAAGAGACAATTTCTAAATAGTCACAATCCTGTAAATCATGTAACAGGACTATACAAAGTGGCCTAGCTGGGGAATGGTATCAGGCAAATATCAGAGAATAGCTAAACTTTGAAGGATGAACATGAGATAGCAATTAATTGAAACAAAAAGATCTTTAGTGTGCTTGGAGCAAAAGATAGGAGGTATCACATCCAAAATGTGGCCAGAAAACTGGGTTAGCTACCAAAGGTGAAGAGACCTCTTGCTCCTTGTTGCCAACTAGTCACAACTCCCTCTGACTTTCTCTGTGTAGCTGAAAAGCTTCTTTTTCACAAGTCTCCATGTGGTTGACCAGCAAAGGACAGCTATAGCACTGAAAGTGTGTGGCACTAGATAGCCAGCTGTAAGCTGGCCTCTAATGATCCTTGCCTCCTCGTAGTCACATCCTGATGAAATTCTCTCCCTGGAGTGTGAGCTGGACCAATAGATTCTTCTAAAACATAGAATACTGTAGTCCTAGCCCATTTTTCTGAGTGATTAGAGTGTCAGTCCTCAGACTGAAGTGTCATGGGTTCAATTCAGGTCAAGAGCAGGTATGTACCTTGGCCGCAGGCTCAGTCCCCAGTCCCGCTGGGCGCTTGTGGGAGGCAACCAATCCATGTGTCTCTCTCACATAGATATTTCTCTCTCTGTCTCTCTCATTCCCTCCTCTCACTCTCTCTAAAAAAATAAAATAAAAAATAGAATACTGTAGAAGTGTCCAATAGACACATGCAAAGATATTCAACATCACTGATCATCAAAAAAATGCATATTAAAACCGCAATGAGATACCACCTCACACCTGTCACAAAGGTTATCATCAATAAATCACCAAACAAGTGTTGGCGAGGATGTGGAGAAAAGGAAACCCTTGTGCACTATTGGTGGGAATGCAGACTGGGACAACCACTGTGGAAAACGGTGTGGAGTTTCCTCAAAAAACTGCTTTATGACCCAGCAATTCCACTTCTGGGTATATATCCAAAGAAACCCAAAACACTAGTTTGAAGGAATATATGCCTCCATGTTCATTGTAGCATTACTTATAATAGCCAAGATATGGAAGCAACCCAAGTGCCTGTCAATAGATGAGTGCCTGAAAATGTGATACATATATACAACAGAATATTACTCAGCTATAAAAAAAAAAAAAGAATTAAATCTTTCCATTTGGGACAGCATGGATGGACCTAGAGGGCATTATGCTAAGTGAAATAATCCAGACATAGAAAGATAAGTAACACATGACATCACTTATATGTGATAAATTACAAAATAAATGAACAAACAAAATAGAAATAGACTTATAGACACAGAGAACAGACTGATGGATTCTAGAAGGGAGGAGTATTTAGGGTTGGGTGAAAAGGTGAAGGGATTAAGACGTAGTAATTGGTAGTTACAAAATAGGCATGAGGATGTAAGTTAAAGCACAGGGAATATAGTCAACAATATTGTAAGAACTATCTATGGTGCCAGGTGGGCACTTGAATTATCTGAGTGAACACTTTATAACCTATATGAATATCTGTGCATATGCTGCACACCTGAAACTAATACAAAATAATGTTGAAAGCAAACTTTAATTGAAAAATAAAATAATGAAACAGAAAAAAAGGAAAGAAAAGTAAATAAAAAATACAGTAGAAGTGTCATTTCTGATATTGGGTTATAAGAGGGACAAGGTTTCCTTCTTGAGCGCTCGCTCCCTCTCTCCCTCCCTCCCTCTCTCTCCCAGTCCCTAACCAATCCTTCAGATGAGACTGCATTCATGGCTGACAATTTGGCTGCAACTTAATGAGAAGCCTTGAACCAGAGTCACTTAGTCACCATTCACTTAGTATTTCTGCATATTCCACAGACCTCACAGATTGGCTCCAAGAGAGCTATTGACTGCCCCTTGAGAAAGAAGGTTTATTTCAGGCCTGAAATATATAAAAATAAGGATGAAGAACTAAGGTATTTAAAATCTGTTCTGATGCTATCAGTTTAAGAGGCAAGGTGGTGAAGATTACAGTTGCTGACAGTATTAAGACAATGGTCTTATGGCACTCGTCCATCTGAGCTCCATCTTCCTGTCTCTTCCCATCACACCCACCACCAGAGTGTAATTTCAAAGTATGTCATGTTCAAAGCTGAACCAGCACTCAAGATGGCATCTCGGAGCCTAACTACAGACTTGCTGCCAACCTTTTTTCCATTGAGCTACCCTCTTTTCATTTCTATTTTACCACAGTCCTGAAGTTTCGGATGATTTGGACTTTGTGTGTTTATGAAGCCTTTCTAGCCCACCTTTCCTTTTATTTTAATATGATGTAATTTTTTTTTCTTCAAATGTCCCTGAGAAAATGTTTTGCATGGTGGACTAAAAACTTGCCCAGTCTTATTCTGGCCTAGAAACCAATGTGAAGGACTGACTCTATGGTGAAGACTATTAGCTAAGTAAAAACATGTCGGCCTTTGATGCATTGATTTATTTGTTTAATTAAATATTTGAGAAGGCATGGTTAAACTATAAGATTACAATATTTTAGAATCCTTCTAAATAGTTGATTATGTGTTTAGAACCTAACCCATTTCTTCTCCATTTTGTAACACAGGAGAAGAAAACCTCCTGGCAATTTTACGACGAAGATGGTGGAAATATATGATGCTGGGACTCATAGACCTGGAGGCAAATTACCTGGTGGTCAAGGCCTACCAGTACACGACTCTGACCAGTATCCAGGTACTGACCTCTCTGTCCTTCGCAGCCTCCTTAATTTCCAGATGTCATTTGCTTTCAGTTTAGTCACTTAGGAATCTGAATATTACTCTGTAAGTGTTGCAACAGGAGGGAAATTGGTTGTATGAAAGTTAATTTAAACTATTTATATGTCTTATTTTTCTTAAGTCAAGGGTAACTGGAAATCTTTTTCCTCTTCTTTCTTAATACACCATGGTAATCATTGACAATGTAGGAAAATAATTTGTAGCTATGAATTCTGCCAACTAATTTTATGTCAGTAGGAGAAGTATTATTCATAAGCATAAAATAAATCTATTTCAGTCACAACTCACATTGCAGAATATGTTCATGGACTCTTATTAAGTAATCAAAATGCTTAATAATTTTTGTTTTAACTTTCTTTGATGTGAAGATTTTGCAACTTGAAAGGACAGAATTTTTCCTAAAGGGACAAGATTTAAATTCTTAAAATGTGTTATCCATGAAGATAGGTGCTGTATCCTTTCTTCCTCTCTCTCTTCTTCTTTTATGCATGTGTGTACACAGACACACATGCACAATTGCAAGATTAACTTAGGCTTTCACAAAACATCTCCAATATCCCTCATTATATCTTAAATAATAGGCTTAACTATTTTTGTTTCGCCCTTATTTCTCTTTTAATGGCAACATTTTGAATTTGTATGGATTCTAAAGTTCCAGGATGAAACAAAACATTGTTCACATATTAGGTTTTACTTAGATTTGATACCTCAACAGTATTTCTGCCATCCTAATAATTTCCTTAGAAACAACAATAACAAAAATGGAGAAACAAACCAGCAAACAAACCACCTGAATAAATTTAGATTATATAGATCGAATAGGAAGCTATCTAAACACGAGTTAGATGGGGCCACATGCTCTTCCTGCATGCCCAATGAGAGACAGAAAGAATGCTTACCTACATCCATCAAAGAAAAGTCCAGAGCTTTATTCTGATTGGACCACACTGATGACAGGGGATTGCTACTGTGAGCTAATTGGCATAAATCTGAACTAATAAAGGATGAGATTTCTAGGATTGGTTTAGACAAATACTTCTCAATGGGAGTACTGCTGACAATCTGGATGGGATAATTTTTTTTTTATGATGTGGGTCCCTTTTCTATTTTAGTGACCATTTAACATTCCTAGCCCCTGGCCACTGAATGCCAGTAGCATCCTTTTTAGACTTTGTACCAACCAGAAGTGTTCCCATGATTTCCAAATGCCCTCTAGCAGAGAGGTATCATCTCTGGTTGGGCATCGCGGGCTCAACAATCAGCATTCACTCCTGAGTCGGGGTTGGATCAGTCCCACCCAGTCACATATCTGAGAGAGAGGGGCTGTGGACGGGTGCTGGGAGAACAACCACGATGCTGCCACACACAGCTTAGCGCCCACCTCACTTTGATGAACCCCACGATGGCCACACTCTCTTCTGTGCTTCCACGGCACTTCGTTTTTCAGCTGCTGCCACAACCTGTCTTACCTAAAAATGAAGTTCCACTATTCCCATCTACTCCACCAAACTCTGAGTTCTTTCACAGCAGGGATGATGTCTTGTCCACCTTGGAATCTCTAGTAGCTAGTAGAAAAACCAGCACAGACTAGGTATTCAATAAATATTTAAAAGAAGTTGATTAAATTGCATTGATTTCCCATATTTTGAGGCACATGCCTGGCTTGTGGTTCATTCCCCAGTAGGGGGTATAAAACATAACTTCTACTTGCATTGAGAAACCAAAAAATCCATGTGACTTGTTTTATTGTGATGTGGCTTTATTGCAGTGGCCTAGAACTGAAGCCCCAATGTCCCTGAGGTGTGCCTGTGTGGGTTTGTATAACGACTGCCACAGTCAGGATACAGCCCTGTCCCATCACCACAAAGGAACTCCCTGTGGTACCCTATGAAGTCACACCAGTTTCATCACTCTCATTCCTCTCACCTGCCCAACTACTGACCTATTCTCCATCTATATAATTTTGTCAACTGGGGAATAATATATAAAATAAAATCGTACAATATTTCACCTTTGGAGATTGGCTTTTTCACCAAGCATAATGCCCTCAAGTCCATCCAAATTGTGGCAAGTATCAACAGTTTGTTCCTCTTTATTACTGAGTAGTATTCCTCCATGGTATTGATATACCAAGTTTGTTTAATCATCATCTATTTAAACATCTGGGTTCTTTCCAGCTTTGGGCTTTTACAAATAAAGCTGCTGTGAACATTCATGTGTTAACGTAAGATTTCATTTTTCTGGGATAAATGTTCAAAAGTGCAACTTCTGGATTATATAGAAAGCTGCTATTTGGTTTTAGAAACTGTCAAACAACTTTCTAAGAGTTGCTATACCACTTTACATTCTCACCAGCAATGCATGAGAGATCTCTTGCTCTTCATCCTCACCAGCATTTGGAGGTGTTTTTATTTTAGCCATCCTAAAAGGTGTGTAGTGATATTTCATTGTGTTTTTTTAAATATAGATTTATTGATTTCAGAGAGGAGGGGAAAGGTAGAGAGTGATAGAAACATCAATGGATGAGAGGGAATCATTGATTGGCTGCCTTCTGCATGCCCCCCACTGGGGATGAACCCGTAACCTGGGCATGTGCCCTGACCGGGAGTCAAAATATGACTTCCTGGTTGATAGGTCAACGCTCAACCACTGAGCCATGCCAGCCAGGCTCATTATAGTTTTATTTTGCATTTCCCTAATAGCAAATAATATTGAACATCATTTGAAAAAAATATATTTTAACTTTGCCATTATAGTCAAAAGCTAAAGCTAACAATGGCAAAAGCAATAACATTTATTCAGGGAAAATATAATACAGAGAGACACTGAAGTGAAGAAGCCCAGCTGTTTTCTTTATTAGAAAGTAAAAAGAGGGGTGGTAACACCATGATGTTGAATTTATAAGGATTTTATTTTAAAGACACATTTGTGGGTTTCTATCTCTTAACTTGTACAGAATAAATAGATAAATAGATTGTGCCTATAATTTTGAGACAGATTAGCAATGACATTTGGTTAAATTCTAAAAGCTATACTATTTTTATAACTGTGCTATATAAACCATTTCAGTAGAAATAGCAGCTTTATGACTTCTTGTCAAAGATTATTCGTCTTTCTCCAGCCATGTAGTATGAAAATGCAAATAGATGAAACTAGTGAAGTAAGAAGAAACCAGGTCTCTTCCAACATGGTAGTTTGGTAATTAAAGTGCACTCACGTTGGAAACAATTCCCAGTACTCTTGCTAAAAACCACACTGAAGGGTCTGTACTGCTAACACTTCCCCTCCTTCTCACAATGGATATTTCAGTGTCTTCCCATCATTCGGGCAGTTTCCATCAGGGACAAAGGAGAAGAAAGAAATCCCTCTAACCCTAATTCTTTTCCTTTGGCCACACTGTCTGACCTTGGCATCTTAGCCAAATGAAAGCCAGCATGCAGTGAGATATCCAACCCTGAGACTAATTCTACATGACACACACGTGCAAAGCACGTGCATAACATTCACATACTACACCATACACATGCAACAGCTTGTCTCATTGCTTTATGTAACTCTCAGGTCTTCCTGGGCCCACTCTGAATTTCAGGTAGGCTTAGGATTAAGTTGCACCAGGTACAGAGAAAAACTGGGTAACTTCTGATGTGTCTCAAGTTTAAGCCATGTGAGTAGACTTGGCATACAGATTTCTTCACTGATTGAAAAATGCCAATGCTATGGCTAAGTGCTGGGGACACAACTACTGATCAGACCTGGACCCTGTTGTGGAATGATAGACAGCTACATGAACAATTAGAGGACAATATAGTAGTGTGATTTAAAACAAAAGTATGTATTCAGGTCAGTGAAGACACAGGAGAGAGGTGCCCCTATCCTCAGGATTCATGTAACTGTGGTCACAGGGCCAAGAAGTTACGACACAGGAGAGAAAGTCACCAAGCAGATGTTATTTATAGCCAACTTGAATTTCCACCTCAATGGATGAGCCCAGAGAGAAAGCATACCTATATACAGTAGAACCAGGTCCCATGGGCATGAGTTTATGATTATGAGCTCAGCTTTTAAGACTATGTTTTCTTCTTTATCCTTACTAATTTTACCTGTTCCTGGTGCAGGACTGTGGCAGTTTAGTGATTACTCAACAGATTTTTTAAAGTCCATTTAAAGGCAAAGCTTTCAAAAACAAGTTCTGACCCCTAAAGGGAACATGATATTTTGAATTGTTCAGATTCCTTAGATTTCAACTTCCTATTCTCATGATTGTGATAATAACTTAAATATGTATCATTTCAAATATAAGTATTTGATTGGATGTTGCACAGTTTTCTGCCAGCCTTTTGTCCTGATATAGGGTATAGACCCTTGCCCATTCTCAGAAGAACACACTAAAATGATCTTCAATGTCTCCTTAGTTCCATTACTATGCCCATCCCTTTTACTCGTGTTCTGTAGAACTCCCTTCCACAGAAAGCTCCAATTTCTAGCTCCACTGACTCTGGGCCGATGGGCTGGTTCCCAGACACCATCAGGTACAGCCACTGGAAAGCAAGCAAAGCATCTCTCTCTCCTCCTTCCTACACCCTCTGGAATAGCCATGCTTGCAAAGCAGGAAAACATGCATTTGATCCTGTCTTGACAGTATTTATTTCTTCATATTCATTTTCCTTGATAACTGTTACTTTCCACTTCATCCAATAGTTGTTTATTTACATATTTCCTCTCCCTTCAAGTGTTTAAGGTCCTTGAAGGTGGGACCTGTGTACCTGGTACACAAGAAGCACTGAAGACATTCCAGTAAATGCATAAACAATTCATCTTTGTTTCTTTCTCAACATCTTCTTATACCTATAGATGCCTAAAATGTATGAAATTTTTGAATAAATCAGTCAATGAATGAAAACATGATTTTCTAATGGCCAGTTATTGAGCAAAGCAACACAAGTGACCTTTAGTAGT